TGGATGTATCATCCAAAATTTGTTTAGCTTTACAATAACATCTTTCTTCAAATAGTTCTTCAAGTGAAGGGTTTTTAGTTTGTGTTATGTTCCTAGCTTCCACGATTAGCAGTTTTATGTGGTGTTTAATATAACACGATGAAACAGGTACTAATTGATATTAAGTGGGCTTCAAATTATACATAATATATATACAAATAGCGGGACAGGTAACATTTTATATTTTGTATACAACATATTAGTATGGGTCTACTTCATGTACATTTTTTAAGCATACATACACAAATACTTACTTTAAGTTTTGGAAGTCTTAGTTCATCAGAAACGTCAGTTACAACTCTGACACTAAATTTGTATTTTTAACATTAATTCATTTGGCACGAAAGCTCCTACATTAAATGGTAGGAATTTATTTCAATTAAAGAGTAACAAAACAGTCACAATTCACTCGTCCCAAAATGGGATGTTGGCTGAAATAAAAGTAGAACAAATTTTTTTGGAGATACTCAAACCTGTTTGGGTGACTCAAGTTATCTCATTTGTGTGTCTAGCCAGAGCCGCTAAGACATGTGGGGTAGTAAGGACCGCCGAGGAACATATAGGTTTTATTATTTTTTTTAAAATGGTCATCAATTTACACGGGAAGCTGATCATGTTCCTTATTCTTTCTTTACCTATCAAATTCGCTATCGTTTTAGCCTCTTCCTAGATAAGTAAGATTTATAGACCACTGACATATCTCCACCAGTCATGCGTAATTTAATGTAGACTTTTATAAATTTCTCTCCAAAATTCACAAAATAGAAACTATGGTGACAAAAACATTAACAAATATACAAAAACTATATATTTTATTTGAATGCCCACAGCAAAATAAAATATTAAATGAATAATTTATAAATGTTTTTTGTACAACTCTTAAAATAAATAAATTAATAAATAAATATATATATAAATATAGATATATATATATAATTAAAATCAACACAATGTATATAACTTATTTTAATTGCATAAAAATAGACAAGTTTTCGAAAAGAACAACTGTGGCAATTCTGCACACCCTTTCTTAAGAAAATCTTCCATTGGTCAAGAGGTAGATCTCATTAACAGCAATGCTAGTTAAAAGATAATATCTATATGTTACAACCTTGGTCAATATTGATGACCTCTCGCTAAATGCAGGGAATTTTTTTTATCAAAGCTGCATAATTGTCATGTTCAAATTAAAAGATAAATACATAGATGAATTAATAAAATAAATTATTTTTTAAATAACTACTAATAATTATAACTAGAATAAGAATGGTTTAATTCCAACGATGTTTATATTAAAGTATACATATTTCTATTTTTCTATATTATATTATTATTTTTTTCCTAAATTGTTTATTGGAGGTACTCAATCGCAAATTTACAAAAACCTTTAAATTAATTAAACAAAAGCTAAAGATTCCAAAACAGTGAAATGCTTGAATAAAAAAAAAAAATAAAATGGTGGATCTGGTGGTGAAAACTTTTATGCTACAATTAGATAAAGGAGCAGACTCTGGGTTAACTTTAGACAGTCATTTACATACCTTGAGAATTAAGTGATTTAGTTGTTGATCACTTGCAAATATGCTTCCCCTTCATAAATTTTATTCATAAGTAGTTTTAATTTTTTTAATTTAATTTTTTTCAATTATTTTTTTTAAAGTTGTCATTTAATCCCGAGTTTGCAGTTCAAGGACATCCATCTTTTCAAGAGCGTCAAATGAGTCTCAGATCTATTTACCTTTGAAAATAGTTTGTCAAAAGTTGTCAGCATTGAAATTTTTTTGCTGAAAAATATAATGAAATCCTGGAATGTTTAAAACAGCAGAAAATAAACAACATATAAGAGCGTACGATTTCGGTTATTGATATGAATTCGTTATCGGTACAGATCACAGATCTTGGCGAATGCTTTTGAGTCAGGTGTTATTTAATAGTCATGAAGTCAGTTTTATTAGTTTAACTCGAACACGCACATACTTTAATAATAATAATGGTACACAATATATGTATTGAGATTTTTATCTGAGAGGGCTGTAAACTGAGAGCCCCCAGGGCAGGTTGCACGAATTCAAAAACCTAAAGGGGTTTGTGTGTTCAATTGGGGGGGGGAGGGGGTAAGGGTATTTTCAGCCGTCATCGGTATTCCTAAGGAATAGTTAAAATTATTATTTTATTTTTTTTGTTGTTATTTAAAAAAAAATTATTATCTAACTTTTCCTCATTTTTTCTTTTCATTACCATATTTTTTATTAGTATTTTTTTTCAATGGTCTAAATCTGAACAAGTAGACAAATTGTATCAATCAAGATTTTAGGAAACAAAATGTGCAGAGGAAAAAATATTATTTCATAAATATTTGCATAAATAAACACTGATAATGTAAGCTCTTATTTATATCATATTTTTAGGGGGGGGGGGCTAGGGGTAGGGAGAGCAAAATAATTTTAACAAACAAAAAATAGTGTATTCGTTACTTTACATTCATTTATTTTTATATACAAATGATGGTATTATTTTAACATAAATTCAAGAGCTTTAACATCAACTTCCATAAACACAATATGTCGGTAAAATGTTGTTTTCAAACGTTTCGAGTACACACTCTCGCTTTTCATGGAATTAAGTACGGTAGTGGTCCGTTCTCTATATTGGTAGCCCACTGTATTGAAGCAATGGGTCGATATTAAACATTTGCTTTTCTCTCAGTAGTACACGGACTGTTGCAGAAAGTGCAGGACACACACGGAATGATGGTGGTTTTTAACCCTATTGGAGATTTGCACGAGTTGTCCTCCATCGCTCAAAACAAAAAGAATTTAAGTAGGCCTAACATATTGTAATATTTCTAATATTTCATTTCATAGTTATATAACATGAATTCCGAATAATAATTAGCAAATATATTGGAATATTAGTTAAACTTCGATAAAGTTAGATTATTTAAAATATTTATAAAAAAATTTAATATATATAAATTAAAGATAAAAACATTTGATGTGATACACATTTATATTATTATGAAATACCTCAACAATTATTGTTCGTATCAAGGGTTACTATTTTATCATTACAGAATACGCCATGCACCTTTCGCCCAATCCGACACTTCTATTCGAGGTGAAATATTAACATGGCATTCCATAATGCATTCTGATTTCCTTGTACAAATTTAGGAATATTGATTAATTTAAATCAACATAAAACATTAAAACGCATTAGAAATAAAGACAAATAACTACTTAGATGAGGGTTAACTTAAAATTGTTAAATTTACAATTGAAAAAACAACAACATTTGCTTCAAGCGATCAATAATTGTATAAAAAGAGCACACCATATTTTTACTGCCTTAAGAATGCACACACTTTTATAGTTAAAATATTTCCATGAAACCAATTAGTTAGCCTAATATATGTAATTATACTTTATGTCTCAAAATAAATAGCGTGTTTTGTAATGTCGTTCACATGCCTTATTATTTGTGTAAAGAAATGATTTGATCGTCAGCCTTCGTTTAAAAACAAAATACTTAACACATACATTTAAGGTTTTCATAAGTTGTATAGTTTATGTATTTATTTTTAAATTGTTCAATACATCACTGCAAAATATGCGTATAAAATATCAGCATAAAGTACTTGATACAGACATGCTTATATAATGCATTTGAATCTATTATATAAATGTCAGGGTGACTACAGTTGGTTTTTATTTGTTTTTTGTTAATTTTTTTTTTCAATTTTGTTTATTGATCACAAGTATATCAAGAATATCAAGAATATTTAAAAAAGAAAAAAAAAAGTAGAAAAAGATAAAGTTTTAAAACTTTGAAGATACAAAAAAAATATAAAAATTAAAACACTAGTTCCGAGGCTCAGTCACGTTTTGCCATTTTGGATGTACGCATGATTGATAAGCTTTTATTTAGAACAGTGGGCTTTCAATTATCTATTTAAAAAAAAAAATAATACGGTTTTATTTATTGAATGCGTTTTAAATAAAGAGTATTCTTTTTGCTTTCAAAAATATTAAAATAGAATTATCACATTGTTCAGGGCCGTGCATAAAGGATGACTTAGGCTACCTTGGTGTTTATAGCCACGAACTTCATTAAGTCTTACTGCCGACGTTATTAAATAGTGGATGTGTGTGTGTGAAAAAGAGAATCGTAAGTTTGGTGTGTTTGAGCCTCATATTAACATTTAGTAGAAGTACTTCCCAGAGTGGGAGGGGACAGTGACGTCTCAGTGACCTTATTTGTTACCCGGCACACACGAAATTCGTCTACCCCATGATAGATTGTCCCCATTAGATGTTGTTGTTTTTTTTTATTTACATCTAGATATTTAGTATAAGCTACTTAAATTTGAAATGCAATTATAAATCCAGCGTGACTATTTACTAAAGGTGTTAGGGTTTCCCCATTCTATATTTAAAAATTGTTATTATAATTGTTGCATTTTATAGGGGAATCCTTTTCAGTTTATAAATACTTTTGCGAAGTGTGTTTTGTCATGGCCTCAAACGATGATAACGTTTTAGAATTTTAAAATTTTAATCTTAAAATACAAGCACAATCACAGTCGGGTACATATGCTAGTAAAATTATATATTTTTTTAACTCGGCACTTTTAAAGGCGAATATTTTAAAAGGGTTTGTTTTAAAAAAATGTCTAATTCGAGAAAAAATGATGGAAGGCTTTTGTACTTTACAGGTGTTGCAGGTTTCTATGACATTTTATTAAAATACGTAAAATTAGTATAACAAATGTTCCCACAAAAAATATAAATTTTATATGATTATTAAATATTATACTGATTATTGAAATCCTAAAAGCCAATCTTGTTTCACATAATCTATAACAAAATTTTAATATACATGTGACATGTATCAACACCCCCCCCCCAAACCTCCCCCCCCCTAAACTTTTTTCTTTTTGCTTTTCTTATTTGTAAGTAAGTTTTCATACTCCGTTATCATAAATAAATATGATTTAATTATAAGAAATAAATTTTTGTTTTTCTGTAATCGCATCATTGATGAAAAGATAAGTGCTGGACCTCGTTGATTACACGATTCTATATTTTTGGCCTGTGAATTATACGAAAAATGTACGAAATCTTTGGGGAAAAAAAAAAACCAAACAAATATAAAAAAATGGAAATAAAATGATTCAAATATCGAAGCATTTACAGCAAAAAAATGTAAAAAGAAAATTAAGGATATTTGCTAACATCACAAACAGTAATATATATTTAATTAAATTATATCATTATGTTTATCACATATTACGTATAGCTCATACATTTTTGGGGGAAAAGGGATAAAAAAAAATATATTTTAAATGAAGTCGTTTTTTGCAGACATCAACATACTATTGGTTACAAGCTGCAAAGTAACTGAATCAAAAGCAATGGTTCTTACTTATTTTAACGTAGTAGATGATGACGATGATCAAGACGACGCCGGCTACTCCACCACACACACCTCCAACGATGGCACCAACGTTATCGCCTGAGTCAGACCCCTCGGGTTGATTAACTGAAAAAAATGTAAGAATGGAGATTTAAGTGCATTTAATAATGATAAGCATTGTTGTTGAAGTTAATAAATTGATCCTCACAGCAAACAACTATTGCCACACACACATTTAGAGATATCATTGGTAACTTTGGACATTAAGCAGATACTCTCAAATAGCAAATAAGATAATAACTTTTCATTTGTTTTATTTAGAAACCTCTCATCAGAAACCAACAATACAAGAACGACTTTGTTATTCCTATGTACAGTACTTAAAAGTACACACAATAGCCGCCATTACCTTTCGTCAAATAAAAACTGTATTCCTGGTCGCTCCCTATGCCGTTCCCAAAGACGAGGGTGTAGTTTGTGAAGAAGTCATCTTGGACGTCCGTAAAGCTCAAAACGACAGTACCGTCAGGGTTGTCGTCCCACTGGTAAATGACGCTGTAGCCACTCGTCACAGCCACGGTTTGATTACCATATAGTCGTAGCAATGTGTAGTGGTTGGGCTCGGGGTAACCAGAGACGGGTATTGTTACTTCCAGATTACCGTTAACGTTAGTATGAAATTGCCTGGGATATTGATTTGCATTTCGTATCATCTGTGGACCTAAGAAGAGAAATCTGCTGGGTTTGAATTCTATATACATTAATTAGTTTAATCAAGGCTTTCCACATGATATGATTTGTGTGTGTTGCTTTTTTCAACTGAAATGAATTTTTATGGTGTGGAAGGGTGGGGACTGAACGGAAGAGCCATTCATTGTAGTTGTGGTGTACATATTATTATACGCTCTTAGCAACGGGCGTCTTCGCTGGTTAGGCCATGTAAGGAAAATGAATGGAGAGCGTAATCGAAAGAATCTGCTGTATTTAGAGTTGGCAGAAGGGGCAAGACTTATTGGACGACCTGGGCTGGGATGTATAGACATTTGCAAAAAGAGTATGAGGGAAGTAAACATAGAAATCTACGAATTAGATATTATTTCTGAGCACTGTTCCATCCGGCGAACTACAGTGTAAGAAGGAGTCAAAAAGCATAAGATGCGCGAAACTAATTCCTTTCAAGCAAAGAGAGCCAAAAGTAAAAATCTAACCAGGTTTCAAAGTTATTATTTGTGTAATAAAGCAGAGTTCGCTATTCCAGTATCAGACTAGAGGGAGATTTTTGAAGCGATTATAGCTACTCCATCGTCTTGCGAAGACAGGACGATGTCATATACATTACATTATTTATTGATTGATTTTTGTAATTTCTTTATTTACAATTGACTTATTGTACTAAATTATAGTTTGAAACTCTCAATCTCAATATCTATTTCAATAAACCCATTAAGCATCCCACTTTTATCTTACAAAGAAAGATGCATTGTAGCTTTATAGCGATGCGAGAGTTAGTCCAACAAACCACATTGTGCGTAGAATATAGAAACTCGTTTATGGAAAACTTAACTTTTTTAGAGGAAATGAAACAAAATATACATTTAATTTAGCACGTACATGTTTCATACATACTGCTTATTATTTGGGTATAATTTAAACTTAGATTGTGTTGAACAAACTTGATATTTAATCAATACAAAAACATGCTATTTAAGAAAATGCTTGTATGCACTCTATAATGGTGATATTGAATGCTTACACTTTACGATTATTTCAATCTGTGACTCCAATGATTGATATGAGGACCACTGCCTAACATCACACTCGTACCTGCCGCCATCCAGGCATGACGACACCTTGAACGTGTAATACGGTGAATTGGTTGCCATAGTTCCGTGCTTGCCTACTTGACGAAATTGTATGCCAGGCACAGGGAAGCCTGAAGCTAGACATTCCAGTGTGACGTAACTGTCCATCTCAACGACCAGTTGTCTCTCTTTCCCGTTGGCCCTGAAACTGAGTAGCTGTTGTTTTTCTGCGAATATTATTTTATATGATATAAATTTAAAAGTGTATGATACTAAAACATGAAACCTTCACATCAGTAAAAGTATAGTTAATTTCGTAGTCATAATATATGAACATAGCATCGTTGAAACTGTAGCCGTGTGTATCAAATAATTGTGCACATGTCCTAAATTTATACTTTTCTTTATTTTTAACAATGGACATTTTAAATTATGTTTGTATATCGTTATATTCAAATCACCAGTTACCTTTATCATTACTTTTATATATGGTTAACTTAAATAACGTCAAAATTAATCGATTCAAAGTCACTTTATTTCAACTTTCAAAGGTGTCCAATTTTATTAAAAAATGCTTATAACTATAAATTAAATTGAGTTAAAATTCATTGTGTTAAACGATTCCAAAGCAATAACAACTATTTAAAATACTTCTTTACACACTACTGTAATTGTTGCATGTTTAAACTACATTCGACTATATATGCTTTTTTTTCCCCCTAAAAATCTTGCAAAATAAATTATGTGAATGTTTCTTTGTCAGAAATGAATTAATCGCTAATTTGTTTTATAACATTTGAATGGTGGAGCAGGTATAGGCAAAAAATAAACAATCATGTGAACTCATAACACAAGAAATTACAGAAAAATACAAAATAAATAAAGCATTATATTACATCCATAAATAAACGACGTCAGCTACTCGTAGAGCCGAATCTCTTAATACCTTCACCAATGTAACACCACCCACCACCTAAAAATTTTTTTTCTCCATTGGGTCTTGACCTCCTATTGTTCACGAAGTAGCGAGGATGAAATCGTAACCTAGAAAAAAGACTCCTCAATGGCTGTCTGTATAGAATCATGTAGTCACTACTCACACTGTGCCTTATATTCCTCATGTGAAACATAATTAATCATGAACCCTTCACTATTTCAAATCGTTATTTAAACTTCGGATATGAACACAAATGGAAGCGGTTTCGCTGCGACCATATTTTCTACAATTTTGAAAGACAACTTGCATGGACCTTAGATGGCCACACAGTATCAAACAAGTGTCGTAATGTTCTCCTGGTGATGTTATTGTGTCAGCGCGTCGTTAGTGCCCACGCCATTTGAGACGTACCGACCAGAGCCCCCTATGGCTAGACGATTTACAATTAGAGGTATCATTCGAAATGTTACTGTCTAATGTTCATACACATAAAGAAAATCTACTTACGATTCACTAGTACGCTCGCGTACTGCTTTGGCAAATCATCGCTCAATACTGATAGTGGCTGACATGAGAAATTCGTGTAAATCTCTGAAATGTCAATTTATTTTTTAAAAGTTTATTTCACTCTTTACAGTAGAGCGTCAAATATTTCTTTTGAACGTCAGGTATCCTAAGCATTGGTTATTAAGAAAGGTACGTTTACATACATTAATATATTATTTTAAATATATATTATTAATACAATCATTGTTCATAGAGCATGTTATTGTAAATTAGCACATAACTACCCAAAAACCATTCCTACCTCTGAGCACAATCCGGGTAAAGACTAGATAAGTACCAAACAAATAGCAACCAGACTGAGTTTATGCAATTTGAGCACCAGTCATCAATTTGAATACTGGCATTGAAGAAACACACACACATACACACACATAAATGCAGTCTTCAACGAGTTTTGACATCTCTCCAATGACCCTTAAACCATGTGCGTTTTGGTTACTAAGCTGTTCATTAGATCAGTGATTCTTAATGTAGGCACATTGATTTTAGGCCACAACCACTTTTAATGAAGCACTTAATAAAACACGAAGGTTAAATTTTAAATACATAAATATGTTAAAAAAACTAATAATTGAACTTTTAAAAATAAAATGCACTTCAAAAGGAGTTTAAACGCCCTACAAATTAGAAAATAATTTTAAATTTATTAGATTGCACAAGGCATAAAAAGACTGCATAAGAGTAGGTGAGCACATCATGAAGAATTCGATTTGAATGAACTTAGATTTTTTTTAAAATTAGTACTTTCAAAACTCGTCTTGTTTTTTAATTATTATTTTTTATATGTTTCATCTTTTCGTTTGAACATTTTCATCAGTAAATTATCCATTATATACATTAAGTTATATTTTAAATTAATGTATATATATATATATATATATATATATATATATATATATATATATATATATATATAATATATAATATTTATTTATAAAAAAATATATTACTTGTTTGAAAATGTGTTTGGAATCCAAGTATTGGGTATGTCGTCAAATACGTTATGCTTTGGTGGAGGTTTAAGCAATTGTAAAGATAAAGTGTTGGAAAAAGTCATTTTTTTAAAATGCAAACATTTTTAAATCAAAGAGGAAGAAAAATCCCCTTAAAATAGCCAGCGACGTCGATCTTTCAGTAGAATCGGATGTATTGTGGCAGAAGTTGTAGATTTTCTCCATTGAACAGTTTAACCGTGAGAGTTTTTTTTGTTTAAATTTAAATTAGTTTGAACGTGTGGCGTACTTAAGGTGTTGGTGGGGGGTGTGCCTGATTTTTTCGACACATATGTGACAGGGCGAGGGTGGTGGGAAAAATATTTTTTTAAAAATAACATGTCGTGCTCTTATAGACGATCACCGAAACTACATTTACGAAATGGATTTGTATGACGTAATCGATCATGTTTCGTTTATTTGAATGGCGTTTTAAAATATGAGGATCGATTTTTATTAATTTGACACTTTTAGTATAATGCATGGATTAAATTGAGAGTGATAGTGCTTGCTTTATTTCAAAACAAAAAAAAAAACAACACAAAAAAAAAAAAAAAAAAAAAATATTTAAAAAAAAAAAAAAAAATATCTTCTAAACCAAGACCAACATGGCCAACCTCCGAAACAAAAAATACACACACCTTCTGTTGAAACATTTTCACTTATATGATATCAATTTTTGGTGGATTTTTTTGTGCACTGAATGTTTGATTACTTTTATTTAATAAATGTAACACTTCCAATGTTACCTAAACTCAGGTTAGTGTGCGAAAGTAAACTGTCACCCGGTGTCGCCGTAGAAAGTGTCCCATTACTCAATACCCCCGTCCAGCGAAAACTGCCATGTGGGTTGCCCGTAGTTTTCAGATCACATATCCATTTCCCCGTACCATCGCTGCGGTACACATCACTGTAAGGGCCGATGTCCAAAGCAGGTAGATCTGAATATAATAAATGGGTATAAGTATACACGTCCTCTTACGGTGATTCTCAATAAAACAGAAAAATGCCCATTGGTTAAAGGAAGTAGAGAAAGTTAATATCTTATTTAAAATTTTAAACAAAAACACTTTAACTGTATGTGCTTCTACTCTATGGAATGTTCTAAGAGTATGCGTGTATATATTTAAAGTATATATGACTATAATTATTTAGTAAAAAATAAATAGAAATAAATACATACAATAATATATCACAAAATATTCAATTTTCTTTTTAAAAAAACTTAAGAATTTTTTTTTTTTTTAACTTTTTATTTCATATTATGAATTAAATTCAGGAATTGAGTTTCTTGTAAATAAATTATCCATCAGAAATAATTAATAATGTTGATTTCGCAGCGTACAATTCAAGCCAATAAGATTACCAAATATACTCATATACCGTTACAATTTTAACTTAACTTTGGGTATTCATCTTTAAAAAAAACAAAAAACAATTGTATACATTGGGAAGAAAAAAATCCCACCTTTAATAAAGTACTTACAAAAGAAAATTGGTGATGTGAAATCAAAAGTAATTCTGGTTAAGTTTTGGTTGGTATCATTGGTTACTATCGTGAGACAAAACTGGTGATACCCTAATCCAAGGTCGCTGGGTTTCACTGTTAGATTACACTCTGATACTGTACTGGATTCTTCGTTTAAGTGTGTAGTGAACTTTCCAAGTTTTATATCTCCTTTGACTTGAGTCAAATATCCCTGGTTGAAAACCAATAAATATATGTTGCGACTATCGATTTCGAAACACTTGTGTGATAAATGTTTTAATCTGATTTAAGTATGTAAAAACCAAACAACGCACACATAATTAAATATGTTATATGTTTTGATGCGCAACACTAAGTCCTTAGAGCGAGAATCAATATAGAATGCTAAAAGAAATCAGCAGTAAAAGTTCTCCTGAAAGACGTACAGACTGTGCCTGTAATGCCAGGATCGGCTTTACAAGCTTCGTGAGAAAGAACACATAATAAACAATCTTTCCAAGAGTCCCACAAAAACGGAAGTATGCCAACTTATATATTTATATTTATAAAATATATATTTATATATATATTCAAAGTTTTATAGAATGGATAGGATATAAAAACTATTTTGATATGACGTATATATTGTAAACTAAAACCTTTTATCGATGTACAGTGTATGACACAGATCCGTTTAATAATAGCAGTGCCGGTACTTTAATGGTATCATAATTCCTAGTAAAGATACATTATGGTTGGTTATGATTTTTTTTTTTAAATGCCCTGTTCAAATCTAATGGCTTCTGGGTCTTACCGACTTACGTTTGTTTTGATCTGGTACTCGCATCCAACAGCTTCACTAGTCAGATTCTCTCGACACGATATAATGACCGCCTTTCCTGTAACCACTTGGTAGCATCCAGGGACGTAAACATTGGCTTAAGTTGTGTAAAGGAACATTTTTTTAAAAGAAGTTTACCTCTATCTTAATGACATATTTAATCATATATATTTTTTAATTCGCACATAGTCATGCGGAATATTTAGCATTCAGGAACTATATGAAACATATTTGTATTGGAAACATTGTTACTTTGAATTTAATGTTTACCATTTGGTTTTTATCAATTGTTAAACATATCTATGACTGTGGAAGAACATTTTATTAATTGATATACTTTGTATATATTTATGCATTTACTTAAAAATCGTCTAAATCGGAATACGCCCTGAACAAGTAAAGTATTTGAAATAGAATTCCTTCCCAAATGCCTTTTTCCCCCTTGTTAAAAGAAGCTACCACTTTTATCCATATTAAAGCTTTTTAAATACACTTTAAAAGTAAATAGACGTTAGCAAAATATATAAAAGTAATAAACTCACCCAAAGTTAAAGGTGTCGTAAGCGTGCTTGTTGATCTAGTCAAATTTCCCATGGTATTATATGCCACCATAGAAACACGAAATTCATGATAGCCTGGTCCTAGATATGTTGTATTCCATGTCGTCTGACACTCAGTCATAAATTTTGAAACGCCCAACAGGTCTGCATACTTGAACTTAATGTCTTTATTATAAATTACCCGAAACGATGTTCCCTTAAGAAGAAATTATTTATAAATAATTAAATCCTACTTAAATTGCAGTAAGTGCTTACTTTTTGTTTGAAAGCTTTTTGAAGGGGCTAAAAATAAAAGATTCGGTTTAAAGAGAAATAGACTTTTCTTTTGAGACTTATAAGTCATTGATGGTTTCATTTTTTTTTCTTCCGGTGACTTACTTATTGGGATATTGGGTTTGGTCAAATGTGATGACCAGTTAGAAGGCAATGTTTAATTAAACATTATATAGAATCACTTTGAAATTTAATGTACTTTTCTGAAATAAAAATATAATTCGATTTACTTTTTTAATTATTTTATTTAGTTTCTTTAAATATTCTAAACATTTATTTCTCTCTTTAAATATTGTTTCAAATGAATAATGTTTTTTTGAAACGCGATGCTACACTATATACGAGCCCTGCAGGATACCCTCTTGGCGGCCCGCGAAATAAGGAAATAGTTTTTATTATTATTATTTTTTAAATAGATTTCCCCCATGCATGGGCGCCCGCAGAAAACTTTCTAGGGGGGGGGAATCGATTAAGTTTCTCCGGGGTGGGGGGCACACATTTTTTGTAATGTTTTAATGTAGTTTTAATTTACTGTAGCGTATTTTTATGGTGAACGAACGGACAGAACATCAGCTTATTTACTTTCTCTTTATTTTCTATTTACTTTAATACATTTTTTGTCTATTTTTGTGTAAAAAAAATTTTATCCAATCAATCCAGGGGGGCATGTGCCCCCTAGCCCCCCTAAGGACGCCTATTCCCCCATGTCTTATCATCTTTTGGCCCGCTCAAGTTTTTTTCAGAACCCAATTGGGGCCAGCGCAATTTATTATTTTTTTTTTAATGAACCTTTTACGGGCCCGCCTACGATTTTGAGTTGTGCAGGCCGGCAATGCATTTGAAAAGCAAGGGTACTTACACTTATTAAGTAGGGAATCGGTTGTCTAAATTTTGTTAATTTCAAAAGATTTAATAGAATTTTTAAAATTGATTTAATACTAAACATTTTCATTTTTTTTTAGATTTGATTTGAGAGAAGGCGTGAGACAAATACAAAGTTTCTTTGGACTTCAACATTAATCTTGGCGTGTTTAGGTGTGATAGACCTCTTTCTCTTCTCTAGTTGGTATTGCGTAAAAACGTTATTGAAAAACTAATCAATACTTTAAGGAACAACCTGTCGCTTCTTTAAACATTATAAAATTAGCATACTTTTCCGTAAAACCTAGACAATTTTTTTCTTCTACAATTTATTAAATATTAGCAAATAAAAAAAAACTAATTATAAAAAAAACAAATAATCTTAAATAACAATTGACGCCATCAGAATGCTGTTAATCATAAAAAATAATAATTATCTAGGTATATTTGCTTGCCTTTAACAATGTACAAAATAGAAGTGGAACTTTTTTATTACAGAAGTTAGCTCTAATTGGAGTTCAAATTAAGTGTGCTAAATAAATAAAGGCCCTTAAAAAAAAAGTATCTCTAGTATTTGGTACGTTAGCGAATTTCCGCAGCCATTTCCGAAGTTATTTCTATTCTATAATAATTGTCACTTTATTTTGAATTTTTTTTTTAAAGTCTGTGTTTATATTGATCAAACTTTAATTTGTGAGACAATTATTTAATACGGAGTTTTGCAATAAGACTTACATTTGTCAAGATCTCAAACTCACACCCCTCATAGAAGCTTAAAACATCCGATCTGCATGTTATGGTTACATCATTATTGACAACTTCTGGGTAGTTGCATAGTGGAACAATCTCTACTCGCCCTTTGTACGTTTTCAAAGAAATGATATATTTAATGTGAGCATCTTGCTTATCGAAAAAAACAGTGAGACCTAGTAATTTACTTAACACACATTTTACAAATGGAAAACTATTGTTGACCCATTGATATTATGTCAATGTAAATTATATGTTTTGATATATATATATCACTATATATATATATATATATATATGCCATAAACAGTTTGGTTGACCAAATTACAATGTAAACTTAAAGTGATAACACAAGAAAATAACAACTTACAATCAAAGTTGATTGACATGGCATCCGTCATGACGACATTTATGTCCTGATCATTGGTCTTGGCCGAGGCCGTTATTCGTAACTGATGTAATCCGTGACCCAGATCAGTCACGTTAAGTACGTACACGCAAGATGCGGTAGCCTCATACACGTTTTCAAATCGGTCCATTGACTCGGGATTAGTATACAAACTATTCGTCATCACATCAGAATCATAGGCAAGTATTAATGATGAATTAGGTTCAACTGTCATGTTCTGAAGAAAAAAAAAAAAAAAGATACATTTCTGCAAATTAAAGAATGTTATTTTCCTATTTAAAAAAAAAATAAAATATCTAACAAATAAAAATCATTAAATAACTCATTCGTCTTTATGCATGTATTAAGTATTTAGTAAATAAAATGTAAAATAAAATTATAAAGTGAACTCTTTAGAAAAAGGTTCAAAATATTTAAATAAATGATATGTTTTATTTTTTTGACCATTTAAAATAATTCGATTTCCATAAAAAAATTAATTGTTACATTTCTGTGTTTAACATTCCTAACGTATAGAGATTGCTTCGTTTTTTAAGCTCATTTTTATATACCAGAAAATATCATCTGGTAATAAGAAAAAAAAAGCTACACAAAATTTAAAAAAAAATAATAATGTATTAAATAAATAAGTATATAATAAAAATAATGGAATAAAGTAATGTTTTTGATGCACTAATTCGAGTATTTTAGCACATAGATATAAGAACAAAAAATTAAAGGCGTATTTATATGATAGCGGGAAAGAACATAATTAAAATCAAAGTAGGGCAACTAATAGTATCATAGAGTGTATAATGTACAATGTTTGGAAAGTATAAATACCGCAAATTACTATCAAATGAAAAAGAAAACCTGAAAAATGTAGCATGCACGAAACAAAAGGCCATATGGAGAAAAAAATGACATCACTGTTCCCTTATCCATTAAAAGAAAAACGAGCCACTACACGTCAATCTTCATTTCTACATTTTAAAAATGTTCAGTACACAAGAATTCAAATGGCGTCTAATAAAAAAACAGCACTTATTTTATCAAAAAATGTAACATTTCTCCGTATTCATATAAAGTATAATAAAATTTAAAATTAATATTAGTATTCCTTCAAAACTGAAGAAACAAAAAAATAATTGATCTAAAGTGACTGAAAGCCCGTATAAAATATATATATATATATATATATATATATATATATATATATATATATATTTAAACAAGTTACTCTTTAGAAATATAAGTATAATATATAATCTGTTAGACTTACAAATATGGATAAGTACGTCGTTACTAAAAATATTGGCAGCAAATGTATTCGGATCTTTTGGAAATAATATAGACTGTACAGTAACAGTAGTGCTAAAAAAGATAGCCATAAGCCTCTAGTCATTTTCCTCTGGCAAACTTCCGCTTGACCATCTCTGGTCCCAGTGTAGGGCTATTACTAAAACGTTTCCTTTCAGAACCATTCTTTGATACACGAATTCCTTGTGGGTTTCTGTTACGTCGATCTTTTAGTACGTCAAGTAGATGATCAAGTTCGAAGCATCAATTAGGATTGGTTTGCGTTCACTAATGATACCTTTACTGATGAATTCCTTTTTGTTTTCTTTAAATATTATAATTCTGTCATAATAAGTCTAAAATATATTAAGTATTAAAAATATTGTATCAAATTGTTAACCCTTTCATTAAGTGTGACTTTATTTTCTTAATGGCTTTCTCGTTCTTAATCCCTCTCTATCCCTCTTTATATATGGGAATATACATTGCTATATATATTAATATATATATATGTATATATATATATATTTATTTATACACAAAAATGTATTTATATATATATATATATATATATATATATATGTGTGTGTGTGAATATATGTGTGTGGTAAAGCTATATTCATAATTTTTCTCTCTATACCTCTTTATATATGGGAATATATATTGCTATATATATTAATATATATATATGTATATATATATATATTTATTTATACACAAAAATGTATTTATATATATATATATATATATATATATATGTGTGTGTGTGAATATATGTGGGTGGTAAAGCTATATTCATAATTTTCAATTTCATCAAATATATATATAACGTTGCGTTTACACTCCCTTGTTCTATACTTACATCGACATACAGGGTGAACTCTGCCAATGGAAAGAGATTGTTGGTTTCAACCCGAATTTGAAACGCATCACCATCACGACCTGTGTCTAATTCGTCCACATTTATTTTTGTTGGGTTGACTGCAAATACAACAATAATTAATGAATTGTAATTAATTCATAATTTTGAAATGCTGGGTTAAAATTATATATTTGGTATATCTAAATGACGATTTACTGAAGAGTTGCAAGTGAAACAAAACAAAACGCTCGCCCGTTTTAGGAATGCATTTCTTTGACAGCTTTGAAAGTATGAATAAAAAGTAACGTTTTTTTTATATGGGACAGCAAGCTTGGTTAATAAATGTAACGGTTGAATCGTATTTATTTATTTAGGCATTTTTATATAGCACTTACCTTAAAGCTCTAAGCGCTTTACAATTATTAAAAACATGTAAACTAACTAAAATAAAAATGAGACATTAGGATAGTAACTACTATACCATAGAAACAATTAAAATGGCTATAAAACGATTCGTATATCATTCAATAAGAATATATATTAGAGCAAATTCACATCATAATTCAGATCTCTTACCATAGACGTCTAACGAGTCACACAATGTTATTGTGTTATCGTTGTATTGACATTGTAACTGTCTGAAGGTGGACAGCTTCTTCAGATTAGCATACCTCACATTGGCGTTTAACGTGCTCGATTGAATGTTCTTGCCAGAATTCTCTGATGTAACTGAAGCCATAAAGGGCACAATGGCCAGTCTTGGAATGAGAGGGTGACAGACGGTCGCTTCACAAATGTTGATGATCAAAGTTCTGTTACTCTCAGTGTCAAATAAACTCCACGTTAGATTTGTGGCATTATGACCCTTGACGTCACATGACACATTAAGTGGCTTTTGGTATGATAGAAAGCACGTCTTTTGTCCGTCTGTGGAAAAAAAATTGTATACAATTATACTTGATGTGGTACCGGTTTTTCCCATGCCGAGTCGCAATCTCGTATCGGTCGATGAAGGCAAATTTCGGGATCACCAATAGAAGAATAATGTTTGTGGATTCCATTACATGTTTGTAACTTTAAGGTATTTGATAAAAAAGTAACATTCCTTTTGATATTAACTGTGTGAATTAGGCTTTAAAACACATTTTAAAATATATATTTATATATCTAATTATATGTATAGTGAGACTTTTGATGAGACCGTTCAAATGAAAATAGCATGCTCCTTGCAATATGCATGATGCGTGTCGTAAACAACATACTCTTCCAAACATTGCCTTAATAGATCTGACCAAGGCATTTGACTTGTTTAGGTGTAGTGACCTGTTCATTATTTTTATTAAAAGTAGTAATCTCCATAATGTCCTAGTAATCATAAAGTAGTTAAACTAAAGCATGCAAAGCCCTGTAAACGCTAAAAAGGAGATCCCTGACGCATCACCAATCAGCCTCAGTGTGAAACAATGCAAGGTACTTGAAACCAATTTTTTTTCCTACATTTTCTTAACAAAACTCCTTCAGTTTGCCTTCAGGGACTTTAAAGAAGGAGTGAACATCCACAAGAGTTCTGATGGTAGGCTCTACGTTATCGCCTGCTTTCATAGAAAAAAAAAACAAGGTTACAATAGGTGCTAATTCTCGCCTTAGTGCCGGAAACAGATAAGGAATTCAGGGGCTAGTTAATCACCTTTCTGCACTGTTTCATTTCTCATTTAGTATTTAGAAAACTATTTTAGAACGCCTAGCAACAGTGTCCTCCAAACATAGCTACTACTGGCAATACTATGTCAGTAGTTGAGAATTTCATACATCTTGGTTCAGATATTTCCTTGCTCATTCTCCATTGACAAGGGGGATCGCAAAAGCGACAGCGAATATTTTCTAATTTGCATCCGTGCGTGGAATAATTTTAAATTCACTAAAAACACAAAACTAAGATTAAATCAGGTATATGTGCTTGGTTCGCAGGCGGCGCATTCTCTTGGTAGGTAAGCAGAGTAAAAAAACAGGTGTACTTCAAATTATCTTCTGTATGTATTATTTGAAGAGTGGGCAAGTTTATGAGATATCTGCGACAGCAATTTTGGAACACTTTCAAAAGGTACATAGGATGAGCTAAGAGAATATTTTGCAAATGGGAGTGAAATAGACAGAAGAAGAGTAAAATGAATCCTTTGCAACAAAAAATCATAACAGAAGGCTTGTCAATAACTGTCAAACTTTCGATGACCCCTTTTTTAATTATATCACCATTTTATAACCCCTACCGCCCCCCCCCCAAAAAAAATAATAATAATATCAATACATTTATAAATATGTTTTAATTTGATCTCATGTAGTTTCGATAACACCAAATTGTCGCAAACATATTTTATTACATCCTTAGCTTGTTAATCAGCAAGTTAACAAGTTTTTACACTTAAATTGTTTAATGCAGACTCAATTAAAGTTTGTTAAAGACTAAATATAATTGTTTGTGGAAGTAAAAAAAAAATGATTATTTTCAGCATATCTGACAATTATAGTATAGTTTGTAGCTGTACAATTTTGGCGTAAACAAGCAAGTCGTTAACTTATTCTACAGTGCAACTATTGGAATCCTGCTTAATTTCAGTATTACCTGCTGGTGTGGGAATTCAACGTCTGATATTAAACACCGCATAAACCGACTAATCAAGAAAGTTATAAACATAACACAAACTAAACATCCTTCACTTGAAGAACTATTTGAAGAAAGATGTTTTTGCAAAACTAAACACATTTTGGATGATACATCCCACCCTCTTCATCACAGATACTTAGGATCGGACCGTTCGGGACGAATTCTTTCAATCAAGACAAGGACTGACAGATATAAAAATTATTTTGTTCCCCAATATGTACGAATTTACAGCATGCTTCCTCTGAAGTCAGACATTTGAATGAAAACTAATAAGTACCTAATTTTGCTAAGGGAACTCACTGAATGGCTGTTTGAAATATTTTATAATAAATGTCTTGTGTTCAAATTGTTTTATTTTTGAGCTGAAAATGTATAATGCAATAATTTTATATCAATAAAAGAATCTTACCTTATCTTATACACACACACACACACACACACACATATGTATATGTATATATATATATATATATATATATATATATATATATATATATATATATATATTTGAGAGAGGGAGGGAGAGAGAGAGAGAGAGAGAGAGAGAGAGAGAGAGAGAGAGAGAGAGAGAGAGAGAGAGAGAGAGAGAGAGAAAGAAATATATATATATATATATTGAGAGAGGGAGGATGAGAGAGCCAAAGACAGAGACAGAGACAGGAAGACAAATTGAGAGAGTGAGAGAGAGAGAGAGACAGAGAAAGAAATCTATATATATATATAGAGAGAGAGAGGGGGAAGTAGCTATAAAAGGAAAGATATTAAAATAAGAAGGGAGATAATTAGACAGGGGGGGAGAAAAAAAGAAAGAGAATTTCAAGAAAACATATGGATTTCTTAATATTTTAGAAAGTTTAAAAGAGTAAAGACATCTGAACAGTTTATACATACCTACTGCTAGAATTAAAAACAGTGCCAGAGGTATAAGCACATTGTAAGAAGTCATTGTCGACAGGATGTCTCAGTTAAAGATCTCCTATAACTTGTCGTGTTTCTTGAAAGTATATTGTATGTTTATATAGTGTCGTACTCATCATGCCATTTGAGTTATGACTTTCATGTTCTTCCTATTATTTTACAATAAAAAAAAATTAAATAAGATTTTTAAAAAAAAACTGTTTATGATGTTCCAAAATGAAACCCTAAAAATGAAACTTCACATTTCATGTTAAGTAGTAGAACTGTAGGTATTTATCATAATAAAATCACAACATTATATATATATATATATATATATATATATAGATCTATATCTATATATATATATATAAATAAATCGTTTTTTAGTTCAGAACATTACATTGTTAACGTAATTTTCAAGCCATATTTATTTGTGTTAAATGTAATATTTCATATATATCAAAAGGAACGCAAACGTAAGTCATAAATAAAATGTTATGAAGAATCCAACTGCTTTAAATATTTGATTTTGTATCACACAATCTAAACACAGTTGTCGATGATTAAACACGGTTTCGTAGTCACAGAAGTTATGTTCACTGACGGAATGAGCAGCTTTACGTTACACCTTGCATTCATACATCACTAAATCAGGGCACAGTTCTTTGTCACGATGGTATTCCTTATAGTGCATGGTCGATATTTGCCAACTGGATGACGTAGTTGACACACGTGTAGTAGAAAAAACGTCAGCCATGACCCACATTGCGCAAAGATTTATTACACCGTTGAGATTCTTGTTTATTCTAATCTAAAATATTAAATTAAATCAAGTATACTGAACTTTGATTTGTAAAATATTTGTCTTCTAAACTCGGTATAAACATATATGACAAATACAATTGTATCGTTTTTTTTAAAAACTTAATTCTCAAATCATATCTTTAAATCTTTTAGGTACAATAGCTACGCTTACATCATTTTTTTTTTTTTTTGGCTGTTACGGGTCCTTCATGATTCCTGTATTCGTTGAAGACTTTTTGAACGTGCAACTCGTTTTAGTTGCTTGACTAACTTAGTTGTGTAATGCATAATAAAATTTAAAAGGAAGTCCTTATTTAGACGTAGCACTGCTATTGAGAGACGATCAGTGGGAATATTCTATCTCAGCATATCATCTAACCCAAATGGCAAGGCCTCGCGTGACATTTTGATACCAAGTCAATTCTCATTGTTTTACTGAAGATAATCATGATGTTATAACATATCTAACCTTGCCGCACTTGCACGTGTAAAGAGACATGCATATTAAAATAAAGTAGGCACTTTTATTAATTATAGGTATTTACAAACAATGATAAAATGGGAACAATTTGAAAGATGTTACGTCCGACAGGGTAACACCATATAACTGGAAAAGTAGCGTGTTTGCCCCACCTAAGCTACACAGTGGTTTTGACAGCATTCTTTTTTTTTTTTATGAACAATCCTTTCCAGAATGGATGGGGTTTCATTGAAATGTTTTTCATGTCCTTGTTTGTGAGTAATATATTTTTTGTTGAAAGATAATTTACTAAACATTTACTAATCATATAGAAGATAGACGACACTGAAACTTTGTACTATAAAACAATGTATATTTTTTTCAAATTAAAGATGTGATTTTTTAAAAATCTTGTGCAAAGTGCGTTAAAATTAGGAAATCTTAATGTCGATTTTAAAGGTATCTTGACAGCTCTTGCAAATCCGTCATCTACTATTCAAACATTATAATAACTAGATCCATTGCCGTGTTGAGCAAACATGGGTGCGACGATACAAGATCTCGCGGAAAAATCAATATGAAGAGTTTACAAGGTTGGGCTCTATGCCTAATTCCATATAACTGAGACAGCATTATATTCAAATAAATGTAAACATCAAATTCAGATTTCAGGATGTTAAGGTAAATGCATATTTGTTTGGATGTACTTTTGTAAATCTACTTGTTTAAAACATATGTCTATTTTTAGCATAATATATCTATTTATTGTATGCTTTATTTTCTGAAACTAATTTTGTAACAAGTAAATAATATCTGAGTTGAATGTTCCTTATAGATGACGCTTAACATTGATGTCCTTTCGTAACAATGCAAATACAAGAACTTTATTTTAAAAGCCAGGCAAATGTGTTCGGGACTCTAAATCGTTGCGCCCCTAGATTATACAGTATAGCAAATTAATGGACACAACATTGATGTACCAGGAAAATTACAATTTAAAAACGTTATGGCTATGATTTCAATTGATGTTTGCAAAGGTCGGGCAGAGATAATCCTTTAAAAATGTCCATATGATTACATGACATATGTTTCCTTATATTCACCTAATATTTTTTTAGATTTAACGAATGTTTGCATTTTATTAAATTTCAGGATTTTTTTTTTGTGCTTGTTAAATAGTATTACGCACAAGCTTCCTATGTGAGAAATAAATCTCCTATTTTAATTTTATGGCTCGTTCAAACAGTGCCTAACATAGAACGATACCAAAGAGAACTTCAATAACACAAATACGACACACAAAACAGTTGCCAATTACAATTAGTAAGATTTAATTTAGCAATAATACAATTGCAAACAAACAAAAGAAAATATAATTACAAATCATCAACTTACAGAATATCGGAAAATCTTGTACCGGTACACAAGATTTTGGGATGTGTTGTGATAAAAAGGTAGTGGATGGCATTTCGGAAATTAGACTCTCACCAACAGTGGGCGCCATGTTGAAATGATCACCAAATATTTCTTTTATGTGTATACGTGGGTAAAGAGTTTAGTCACGTGAACCAGAAATGTGTAAGTTTTCGTCGTTTATAAATGTGTATATGATTGTTAAGTTGCAATTCAAAATTTGGTATCAAATGAAATATAGTTGAAATGACTAGATGTTTGCAAACTTACTTCATCAGTTTAACTAACATAGCATACCACAAATGACATCCGAAAAACCATTCCGTCTAAAGGGACCCGGGCCCGAATAGCAGATCTGCGTAGCATGATTGTCACCGATAAGAGATAACGATTTACAAAGGAGTTAAGTAATGTGAGAATTATCAATTAAAATATATAGAGTATGAGCACTCGGAAAAGACGAACCAATGAGAGAAGAACAAAGATGGAGTCGAAATGATGGCGGTTATTAAGTTCATATCATATGGTAAGATTTGCTCATAGTATAGTGCTTTCTTTAACAATTGGAGAAGTTACCGAAAAGCTTTATTCTAAGTGTTTTGAGATCAGTTCAAGTATTAACTATTTATGATTATTATTGTGATCGTGTTTTTAAGTATACAATAAAATTTAATACAGTATAGTAACTATTCGCTTGGATCCACAACGCCTCTGTTGTAATAGATCATAACTAGATTTTGAATGTTAGTGATTATAGATGTGACAGTGATCATCATGGTATTTTATACTATTATACAAAACAGACCATCTTGTATGTGAATACTATTGTACCAAGCTGACCATCCAGATATTTGTAAACTGTATTAACAAATTTAAAAAAAAAATATTATTTTTGTTCCCTCTAAGATTACTTGGGATCACGCAGAGACTATATTTAAAATTTCTTAAAGTTATCTCAATATTATAATGTTCCGATACCTTTGTATATTAGAAAACTTCTATTTTATTTAACATAATAAAATACTTATGTAACAGTGAATACATATTTATTTTAAAGCCATAATTTTAGTTCATTTTGATTATGACATATTTTTTTTTTCAAATTAACTTGCTTTTACCTTCAACAGACAACCCGATCCAACCCCCCCCCTCCCCCCAACCCCGTAATTTAAAAAAAAAAAAATAAATTAAAAAAAAAAAAAAATAAATTAGAAAGAAATAAAATGGATTAAAATATCATGTTAAAGAAATTGTTTGTGTGGCTAGCTTTTTTTTTTTTTACTAGAACAAACATTAATCCTTTTTTTTTAAAATTTTAATACAAGTCACCGTTTGAAACACCGTTGTTATGGAAGCATCGTCTAAATTTTGGAGTTAAAGGAAATGGATGTAATACCAACACGTTTGATCATTCTAAACAGGAAAACATATTTGTGGACACATTTTGAAATAAAAAGGAAACGATTAAACAGGGTCTTTATTTAAATTGGCAAAATTGCACGACAAATATAACAATATTTAGATAGACTTCATTGGAAATATGTATTTTATTTTGCAAATAATTGACAAAAAAAATAAATTAAAAAAAATTACATGACACATCATATTAACAATTTAGACATTCAGGTACTTAATAAAATTAAAGAATATTTCAGCAAAAAAAGATTTCCGTTAACACGTAGGGTCTCATGACTCTCATCCTATCCTGCTTGTTTTCAAAATAATAACAGCACCCTTAACATGACTCTACAACATATTTTCAGAGAGAGCATCCTATTGATACAATTACAAATAAACCTTTATTTCTTTGTCTGGCCGCATACCTCCCTAACAAATCGTTCAGGACGCTTCCAAAAATAATTAAAGTTAAGTGGGATAGATGGACGTGTTCTATTTAAAAAGCAATCTTAGTGATTTAATAGTAGTGTGTTGCTCCAAGGAGTGAAAACATCTAAAAAAATATAACTGTCAAAATTAATAAACACATCATTAAAAACACAATATATAATACGCAGATATAAAAAAAAAATCATTTAAGAAAAATACATAATCAAAAGATGTGACAACCCATATCTACTTATATTATTTTAAGATTAAACAATTTTATATAAAGGTCTAAAAATATGGCAAAATCTATAAAAACTTACCAAATCACATTGATTATCTTAATTACATAAGATATATATATATTAAAAAAATATCTTTTAAATAATTAACGCATGTTAAATCCATAATAGGCATTAGCGAACCACAGTTTTTGAAAGGAACCTGAAATTTAAAATAGTTTTTTTTTTTTTTTAATTTGTGTCTCATTTTACATTAAAACTTTAGCATTTATATATTAAAAAAATATCTTTTAAATAATTAACGCATGTTAAATCCATAATAGGCATTAGCGAACCACAGTTTTTGAAAGGAACCTGAAATTTAAAATAGTTTTTTTTTTTTTTAATTTGTGTCTCATTTCACATTAAAACTTTAGCATAAAACAATGGATTTCTTTACAGATTTTAAGAAAAAGAAATTGTATGTATTACCCGAATATAAAAACAAGAATGTTGTCCATGTACACAAACATCAAAATATACTATTCGAATAAACGATCGTATTTTCCTCATGGCCTTGAATTTTTGGGACGTCTAGTAAAACGATAACCAGCTTGTTTAAATTCCTGCCATTTGTTGTACACAGCCGGAATGGTATAAATCATTGGATTCACGGCGGAGTTTAATGGGAGAACAAACACCAACAACCAGGCCAGAGCTTCGGGATTTGGTTCCACGCCAAACTTAGAGCGCAACCCCATGACACAGATAGGAAACCAGCAGAGGAAGTTTGACAAGGCGATTAGGGACAGCTTTTTGGCTACAGTCACGTCCTGTGCGCGTCGATCAATTGAATGCGCATTGGCCAAATTGTCTCGAGAGCTGGA